ACTCTATTGTGTCAATAATCCACATATTTAACAGTCCCTAAATACAGCAGACCGTAACACATCCAAAGGGGTCATTATGGCTTATCAAATCAAATCCAAGAGCCTAAATATGGATTTGATCAATAGACTGTAACATCTCCAAGGGTAGATAATATACTTTGATTTATATAAGAAATAAGAAAGGAATAAAGGCTCATTCTAAGAGGTACTGAAGTAACATAATTCCCAGGAAGTATGACCCATGTCATTTATTTTGGGGTCTAACTCTGGTTTCCTACTACAAATACACAGTTGCCTGTAAATCTACAAAAGACTGGGAATGGAATATAAACATAAAAACGTTATATTAAATTTTGCTTCCTCTCACATGCCAATGAATAAGGTTTGTGGATATGTAAATGGGGAGGTGGGGATATATCTTTGGGTCTAGCAGATATTTTGTGATTATTAATTTGGTATATGTTGTGTCTTGACTTCATATATTTTTTTCCAATGAAATTAACATGCTTCTGTGCATAATTTTTCTACAGAGATGTTCTTAAGTGGTTTTTTGTCAGTGTTTTCGTGTTTTCTGCAGAAAAAAGTTATGATTTGCTCCTTTCAAAAATGATGTCAGTTCTCTTATAAATTATATAGCATTTTCAGGTTCATTTAAGGCCGTAAATCAAAGCAAATCTAGGCAATCACACTAGCTCAAAATACTAAAATAAATACAAGTAGCTCTAGCAATGCAAATTTTGTTTAAGTACAAAAGTTTTTTTCTGTTGAAGGTAAACATGGCTTGACTCGAAAAAAGTCATATTTTCAAAACAAAGCCAATTTCTGTATGATTTTACTTTTGCTTACATTACATAGAAAGAGCTCTTTAGCCTATTTTCTGGATTCTTCCTAATTCTCCCCCCTTCCCCAGTGTTTGTGTTTTACTCTGTGAAATCCCTGACACACTTCTTCTCTTTCCTCAGTCAGAAAGTAGAAAAAGTCAACTCTGCCATTATGACTCTTTGCTTTGGGTGTACTACACTACTTTTGGCTCAGAGAGAGCTAATTTTAGTTACCATGGTGCTGATTTTTGGATTTGTGACTAAAGCAGTACTGATAACATAGGGATGTTTTACTTATTGCTCAACAGTGCTTCTACAGCATAAAGGCTTTTTCTGTTTCTTATACTGGCCTGCCAACAAGTAGGCTGCGGGTGCACAAAACTGCACGGGGGACAGAGCCAGGCCAGCTGACCCAAACTGATCAAAGCGGTATTCCACACTGTACAACGTCATGCTCAGCAACAAAAGTTGGGAAAGAAAGGAGGAAGTAGAAATGGAGTTTTGGCATTTGTCTTCCCAAATCACTGTTACACATGCTGAAGCCCTGCTTTCCTGGAGATGGCTGGCACATCTGCCTGGAGATGCAAAGTAGTGGATGAGTTCTTTATTTTGCTTTGCTTGCATGCACGGTTTTTGCTTGACTTCTAAAACTACCTTGTTTTCTCACAATTCTCTTCCCAATCCCACTGGAGAGGAGGGAGTGAGTGAGTGAGTGGTCGCATGGTGCTTACCTACATATCCTAACCCACAACAGTACGCAAACTGAAATAACTTCATATTGTAAATGTCCACAGAAGTCAAAAGTGTAGTCTAATCTTAATGCTTTAGCAAATGACAAAGTTGGACTGTGCCAGAAAACTGCATGTTTTTGTTTTGGCCTTTCTGATGAGTGAACGTCTGTGAGTACTTTTAAAGCTCTGTAGATTTTTTTGAACAGCAGAATATAAACAGAGGCAATTTTCATTTCTGTGTCTCTAACCAAATACAAAGCTTTTTGAGATTTAAATGACACATTTTCAAAAAGGCCTAAGCCCAGGCTTTGAAGCTATGTACATAATTTTGTAAGTGCAGTCATTTGCACAACAAACTGTTACCAGCTATCTGAACTTGAAGACCAGCAACTGACCAGAACTCAATAGCTTTTTTAAAACCAGCTGCAGGCAATTAATTTGTCATCTTTTTCTGGTGCCAGCTTCTAGCTACTAATTTACACGAGTCTAATTACCTGAACCCAATTTCTGAAAATTTGGTCCTGAAAACACAGGGTACCGATTTGTCAAAAGAAACCAATCCAAACTCAAATTCAAGTTATCAAAGCTTTACTGGGATTAGGAGACAAACTATGCACAGTCTTCTTGGCATACAGTTACTTCAACATTATGTTTTTTGAATTGATCTATCATCTCCTCCCCCATTTTGATCATCCTCCCCACCATTTTTAAAGTATAAGAAATATAACATAATGTAAATACTAAAAGGCAGAGAGTAAAGGGGGGGGGGGGGGGGGGGGGGAAGTATTCTAGAATTCCGTTTGTGCAAAGGATGCTTCTGGTTTTAATGTATTTTATACTTGCTATAAAATATAAATACATTCCCTTAGTAAGTACTCATGACTGACAATTCTTCTATTTTCTTTAGGATTGAGAGCGGGGATATATCGTCATTTAAAATGACTGATTTATACCTCGTTTTTGTAAACTCTGCCTTTTCTTGCATCTACAGAGCAAAGATAACAGAACAGCATACCAAAGGTAAAACCAGAGAATGTATTACAACTTTTCCTGCCTTAATGGTTCACTGTACAGTACATGCTAAATAAAAAAACCTAGCAGGATTACATAAGGGCACTGAGGGACTTAGAAACAGATTTCCTTGCTGCTATCTTATTCTTTGGTTTTAAAAATTGCAAGCACTACTATGAAAAGTCTCCCCATAAAAGATTGCGTTTGAGGAGGATGTTGTTTATATTTGTTAAAGAGTTCCAATTGACTCTGCTGTGTGTGCAAATTAAAAAAAAAATAAAAATATTCTTTTCCTTTGCCTGCCTGCTGTATAACCTCAATCTGTACATTGCTAGTAACTGGCATGAAAAAGAAATTTCAGATTAGTCACGGAAGTATTTACTGACTCTGCTTTAAAAGGTGAAAGATGAAATAGAAACTTGTTATATCGAATACAAGACAAACACGGTACTGAAAATACTCAGGGGCAGATCTGATAAATAAGTGGATGCAATTTTTATACTTATTTTTCAAAGCCAAATCAAATGTTAAGAATTCTTTTAATAGCCCTTATAGTGTATTAGATATTTTTAAATGTCAAGCCACTGAAACTCACAAAATTTATTTTTAAAAAAGCATAATTTTATAAACTCTAAATAATGATCATAGGTGTGACACTTTATGTTTATAACATGGCCTTTAGTACTCTACCTCTTAGTTAGTTAAGACAAACACTGACTTTACAATTAGAGTCAGAATATGACCTGCTTGATCAGTTATTAATTTCTTTGTTTTTTCATAGTATCAATCTATATTAAATGAGTTTTTCAATGTTGATATTTAAACTAATGCTAGAGGAAATAAATATTTATTAGCCTCTGAATTTGACTTGTAAAAGCATTGTTAACCCTGTGTGGCAACAGTTTAACAACTCTTTCATAGACACTGAGCTTTTAGCTTGTTTTGAGTACAGCAAACAACCTATCAAGCAAAAAATACAAAATGTAGATTAAAAGGTATCTACCAATGTTTGATGGGTCTGTTTACAACATTTCTTCGCCTTTCTGTGCCTTGCTAGAATCCATTTGCTCACCGAGTATTTCCTTATAGGTTGAGGAGAAATCATAGTATCATTAAATTCATGGTTTAAGATATAGCTAAGATTCTACTAAGTCTTATACTCAACCAGGACTAAAAATTCTTGTTAGTTTTTAGAGTATAATATAATCTTCCCTCCCCAAAGATATAAAGAGCCTACCCTCTAATATACAGATATATCACAGACTTTTAATTAATGAATTATAGACATTGAAAGCTACCAGTTTTTCACTTTTTTATATTTTTGTTTTGGGGTTTTATTTGGTTTTCATTTTATTTTGTTTTGTTGGTTTGGTTCCTTCCCCCCCCCCCCCCCCAGCAAATAGTCTGAAACACTGGTTGCTTTATAGGCTAATGAATGCGTCAGTTTTCTTTTCATTCATTACTAAATTGCATCATAGCTGTTCCTGCTTGCCAATGCCATAGTGATTACCGGGATAATATTTTTCCCTCTCTAGTTAACAGGAATGAGTATTGTGGCATATAAGAGATTTTGTGTAAGTGGTGAAAAGTAACTTGTGTGCTGTATTTTTTGAAGCCACCTCTAGGGAAGGTAACAGAGAAGCATTCTTCATCAAAAGGCTGCCTTATAGCCCAGCCAATTGCCTGATTCCATGTTCACTGGCGCTCTTACACACACAGAGATCTGCTCCTGAAGCAGATCTTGTAGACCCTGGAAAAGCCACAGAGCAAAACACCACAAAGAATTTTCCAAGATACTCTTTGTCCACTGAGCGGTTCTTAAAGTGTGTATGATAAAAACAGCTTCCTCACCTTCCAGATATGATATCCTGCTCAGTCCAATGCTGGTTGCATTCTCCCACCACTTTCATTTACCGTTTTATTGTAGAGCCCCATTTCATTTTAGTGTTTGGAAACTACAGCCAAGATTCAACAAAGAACTTTGATCTCTAATTTTCCATTGGAACTAAGAGCCAAAAGCACTGTTTTGAGACTAAATACTTGGTTGCAACTGAGTTACAGATTCAACCACAATCAGATACATTGTAATATTCAACCATGCTAGTATGTAACTGCCCGTATTTATCAATCCAGTCACTCTCAAAAGCACAATTCAAAATCCAGTGACCACAGACAATTGTAGCTTCATCCAATTAATTCTCCACATTGTTATATGCATGCTTACAGCTTAATAACGAGTACACAGGGCTGTTTGTTTGAATGCTGTCATGTAAACGTAGAGAAGTTTGTAGCACAGTACTGTGAAGTGACAAGCTGTATTTAACATGAAATCAGAGATGGCTAAAAGTTCTAAAAAGGAATTTTATATAGAAATAAGAAGCTATTTGCAGGAAAAAGAAGAGTGAGTGACAGACTGTGCAGTAAAGGGAGACATTACCTTTTCATTCCTGCAGTTGTTTAGACCCATGTTATTCATAGAGGGCAATTTTCCATCAACACCATGTGGCTGCTGTTGTTGCTGCTGCTCCCTCTGGATCTGCTCTCTCATTTTTCGAGCCTCCTGAATAGCTTTCATTACTGTGTCCTGGTCCCCAAATAGGGCAGGTGAATTAAGACTGGAAAGGATATCTATAAACAGAGAGATAATCACTTTATTTAGCTAATTATCCAAATTAGAATCTGGGGTAAGCACTCAGCTCTCATACTGTTAAAGTTGCGCCCAACTGACAAAAGGAAGAGGAGTGGAAATTGTTGTCTGTTTGAAGGCTGAATTTATCTAGTGATTGATAAGCCTGTGCTCTTCTTTTACTGTGATAAGTACAACCCCTGAAGTCTTAGCATAGCCTCATATGGAGGTATTTGAGCATATTCATGAAGTTCAAGTTCAATGTGTGGTTAAGACAACAGTATACAGAAGCTTAAGTGGGAATCCTTTCACTTATTAATAATAATTAATAAAATGAACAAAGAAGGAGGAAAAAAAAATCTTGTTTTCTTGGCCATGAAAGTCATTAAAATTCTATTTACATTTTTAGAATTTCTTTGTCAATATAACCATCACTCGAGAGATTTGGCTTTCAATTTCAGAAGCACCCACAGTGACTTTTGGGGGACAGAGCTTGTTATTACGCTAATGTGAGTCTAAAGCTCTAAATAAGTAGAAAAAAAAAATGGTTCTCTTTCCATCACTCTGGAGAGAAAGAGAAACTTCTAAACATGCATCAGACTCACACAAAATATTCCTGTTGCATCTTAAAATGCATGCTATAGGTAAAGATGAGTACCTCAGATATAGTTTCTGATTTGGGAACAGAAGATAGCAATTAGCTGGTAATTGTTTGTTTTGTGTTGCTGTGATGAACTTCAACTTTTCATACATGGAAGTATCCTCTATACTGCACATAGATAGATTTACGTGTATACATTCTAGCTAGGAAATTCTGAGCAATCAAAGTTTGTGCGTGACCTGTGCATTTGCCTGACAAGAAAATGTCTTCTATAAAGCTTTGAATTTATTAGATTTTTTCACTTACTAACAGTCCACTATAAATCAAACACACAAACAAACAGGCTAAGACTTGGAATTCTCCTTTAAAGATAAATTTCATACTCTTATGACTTCATTGAAGTTCAGCTGAGTAAAATATAGCAAGTTCAACCTCAAAGGACCCTGAATTCTTTCAAAAGAAAAAAGGTTAAAATTAATGGTTTGTCATGCTTTATCCTGGGAACCAAACAGTTGACTTAATACTGTGGTCTAGACGAGTAGAGATGCAAACTGTGATGTTTTAGATGGAACTGTGATGTTTTCTGTTTGAATGAGGTGCCCTTCTCCAAAATAAAAGCAACATATTAGAGAACAAACATTGTCCTTGCTTGGTAGAATTTCCAACGCTGTGAACAGATTCAGCATCTAAGTTCCATTGTGGAGCCTAAGTAAGTTGGGAAACATATTTGTGTGACTTTTAATGAGACCTAGACTCCCAATCATCTCAATTTATAGCAAAAATGGAGCACAAACTCTGAAGTTGCTTGCTGATATTTGCATATCTTCTCTAGCTATTTTTCTGTAACGGTCTATGACTTCAAATTGATACACCACTTTATAATGTTAGTGCAGTGATAGCTGCAAATAAATTGACAGGTAGAATATCTAGCTAGCTGAAGAAGGTATCTTTCAGAGATCACGATGTTCCCAAGTGTTTTGGGAATAGAACAAATCATACTTTTGATACATTTAATGTATGTATTTAACGTATCTGTTCATTATTCACAAGTGTTTCTATATATTTTACAAGTACACTTGAGCTACAGATTGTGAATAAGTGGTCTGTAGTAAGTATTTAGTCACTGTTAAAATATACTGTTTGAACTTTAGGGCTGATCATCTACATTTTGCAGCTCTTGATTCTGTTTCTTGACTGGTTAAGGTAGTCTTCATACATTGTTTCAGATCAATTTTTTATTTCATTACTTAATAAGCATTATTTCTTAATTAAAGAATCTTGAACATAGGTCAAAAATTCCCTATTTGCAACCGTATGAATTAAGAAAATTTTGAGAGATGGGTGAACAAATAATAAAAACATGAAAAATAATTAAAAAACCCTAAATAATAAGCTGGCCTTTCTATCTTTGTTAAATGTCTATATATATATACACACATAAATAAATATATATATATTCAGCATATGGTCTTTCTAAAATTAACTTAATTCCCAGAATACAGAGAATTAGATTTCTTTTAGATTGCTGTTCTGGATATATATATCCCCTATATTTGGGCAAAATGGCTGAAAACCACATTTGGAGTTACCTTTTTGCCTGGCATCTGGTTTACAATAAACCATGGAGGTACTGAATGTTCTCTGACCCTAACTCAACGAAGTGCTTGAAAATTTATTTAAAGGTATGTTACACTGTTGCACTAACCACATGAGTCATCATGTGTGTATGTCTAGTATCTAGTCAGGCTCTATGTGCATGCAAAGATTTTATTTTTTTTATTTAATCTAGCGGTCAAAATTCAAAAGTTAACTTTGCATGTATGCACCCAGTTGATGTCTTTGGGGAAGATATTCATACAAATCTCTTTTACATGTTTTATGTATGCATCTCTATTTACTTATGTGCATATATTCTTTACTGGGAGAGTGGTGAGGCACTGGCACAGGCTGCCCAAGGAAGTTGTGAATACTCCATCCATGGCAGTGTTCAAGGCCAGGTTGGACAGGGCATTGAGCAACGTGGTCTAGCGGAATGTGTCCCTGCCCATGGCATGGGGGTTGGAACTAGATGATTTTAAGGTCCTTTCCCACACTATTGATTCTCTAATTCTATGATTCTATGAATCGTATGTGTATTTCCTATGTTTTACACTTATTGGCTGTATTTCTTGTAGACGCACATCACTGCTGCATCATTTTGCCTTCTCTTGTACAACCTTGGCATTCAAGAGTTCTTTGAAAAGTTTTCCTGGAATTCTTTTTTTCTCATTTTAAATGGAAATGTAGGCTCAGATATCTATATAATTCAGAAGTATGCTCAAGCTGAGATTTCATGTAGAACAGTTGCCAGTTTTCTCCTTTCCCCAGGACAGATTAGTTACCTAAAGAAGATCCTCTTCCCAGAGATCCACTGAGCGGGCTAGGGATGCCACTCTTGCTCATCACGGTCACTGGGCTGCTTTTACTAGCTGTGAAGAGGTTCTGTGTTGGAGATGTTGGGGATTTGACAGGTTCAGCTGTTTTCGGTCGGGCTGAAAGATTCAGTGGCTGGGCTGCTTCATCCTACAAGAGTTTAATGCAAATAATTATTAAGAAAAGACAAATGAACACATCATTTTACAAGCAGTAGTTACTTTACACCTCGAAGACAATACCACATTATCCCACAATAATAACAAAAGAAGCTAATTATCTGCCTCCTTTAAGATTCAGGAAGGAAACCTCATTAATTTCTCTGTGTTATGCTTCTATTTACATTAACTATGTGGCTGGATTGTTCCTTTTGCCAAATTAAAATTTGAATTAGCTCACATTACAGCTTAATTTCCTAATGTGTTTTCAGAGATCTAAATTAACCTAGGGCATTTACAAAGAATTATTTAAAATTTCCAGCAGCTCAGTAATGTTTTTGCATGGTTTTATTTAAAAAGTTCCTGGCACTATGAAAATAATTTACGTAGCTTATTTTTAAATGCATTAGAAACTAAGGAATCAGAAGTACTTCTATGAAAGAATCATTCTAAAAACCTGACAGTTCTTTCTCCCACACTTAATGCTGCTGCAAACTTATACATTCCATGTATCTTATTTTGAATGCAGGGTTTTGTTTAGTAAAATAATCTATGCTGTTCCCCCATAACAGGAGAATTTCACTGAATTCAAATTCCTTGACTTAACTACAGTATCAAACACACACTATGTGCATTTCAGAATATATTTTATTTTCTACTATTTTTTATATTTTACAACATTTTATAACTCAAATGTCGTATTTTTGACAAGTTATGTACAGTCAATGGGTTTTTTTTTTCACATAAATGCTATTCTGCTTCTTGTTTGATACTTCTGCAATTATTTCTATATTCTGTAGTTACTTCTGCTGCATTCAACCTGTAGTGTGTCTGTATGTTTATCTGCATAAAGACATGGAACATTTTTTAAGAGTACGTAAATCTAGCATCAGCAGTTTCATATCTTTCTATACTTTCCACATGTAATTATGGAAGAAATTCTCCCTGACATGTGTCTCCTCTCAGTGCTATCACAGAATAAGCCAATCTAAGAAATATCATAATTTTTGAAAGACTTATTCAAGCAATTAATTTCTTTGATCAGGATAGATATTCATAATATAACCTTCTTCCTATTTTTTTGAGCTTGTTCCTTTTGCTTAATATGTTAAACAAGACAGAGCATTTGGAAAATTGCAAAACAGTGGTTTTCTGTAATTAAAGAGCCCACTAAGACAGATCCCTCATTTAAAATATGCCCAAAGCAGAATTATGCTGGATATAAGAGAACATCATCCATATTTTACAGCACGGCACTGATCACTTCAAAGCTTAGAAATATGTCATAATACAAATAATACAGTACATTATCTCATCCTTTCTATTCTCCTTACTGTCACGCAATGATTTATCAAACTACACCTGATCATACACAATGCATTAAACAGGAAAATGTAACAAACGGGTATTTATAATGCCATCATAACGTCAGTGTTAAACTGTTTCCATAAAACTGCATGACATTTTTATTCATTCTGACCTTGCAGTGTGCATGAATGTCCACACCTGTTCAGAGTCCAAGTGAAAGCAGAATCACAAAGGTATAAGGGACAGAGTTCATTGTGCTTTTTGGTCATGTTTACGTGTAAGATGTTTCCTTGTATGGATACGAAGTGGCTTCAATAAATTTCTGTGAGAGTTCAGATCCCCGTTCAGACTATAAAGTTTGCCAGACTGAATACTGTGAGCATGTACAATCTATGCTACCATGTTCAATTTCTAAATAATTTTCTGCCTAGTACTAATATGATCATGTGAAAAAATAAACCTCTGCCAGAACCTGTCTGTACTCCATAGACAACATTCTCATTTATGCAAGACAACTGAAAAGCTGGAAAACATTCTGGTCACTGACTTAAAAAGCCCCTATCATTACTTTTTGAAAGATCTGACTCCTGTAAAAGAATTCCATTAGTTGTATAAATAATACATGTAGTTTATACAAATAGCTATTTAAAAGAGAGAAAATAAGAGATTGTGTGGAAATATAGAGGAAGCAATGCGTGACCATCAAAACTGTCATTTTTTATGAAGGTAACAATTGTCAAAGGCAGCATATAGGTACTGTTTTATAATAATAATTAATTTCTTCATTAGCCATTGATATCTGTCCACACAAAGCACTCGTAATTTATTTTTAATATTTTCCATGCAATAGTGTGCTTAATACATTAGGATAAAAAGGGGTTTTTTTTTCATTAACATATATTTAAGTCCATTCAAGTGAAATTATGTAGGGAAACCCCCAAGAATTTGCATGTGGTCAATTCTGTAATAGGACTCAGCTGGCCACAAAGCTGAAATAGTATTGGTATTGGTCTTGGTTCAAGGAGATATGTGCTTGAATTTAACCAGGGAAAATTTTACTCATATTGTAAAGGTTTGGTTTGGTGTAGATCCATTTGGCTCACTCACTTATGAAATTACTTTTTCACATTAAAGTAGTCAGTAGTATATTCTCAATACTATAAATCGGTGGTGGTAGGTATCACTATACTATGGCAACTTTGCTGAAACAGTTGGGCTTTGCTTTTGGTGGCTTCCGTATTGACCATAACAAACTCTGCATATGTGGTAAACTTCACTGACTGCACTCAAGCCTGGCACTGGATTACAAGAGGTAAAATATTAGACTAATACACATCTGCAGTTAAGTAAAGTGAATGCTTTGCTAAATAAATGTTAGGTCTGGACATAATGGAATAGTTTTTATTTATTAGTACTCTCAGCCTAGCAAAATGTGTCATGGAAATTTATCAGCCCAGGCAGAATTATCCGCTCACCCCCACTTTAACACAATGATTGATGATAATGAAAAAACGAATGATATTTTAGTCTCATGTCAAAAAAAATATATAAAAAACCCAAATCACCTCAAGTGAGTAAAATCTTCCCCGGCTGATTTGAGGCTAACGACTGTGTGCCTGTAAGGTGTTAGCAGCAAGCAAAATACCACATTCTCTCTCTCCACAAAGCCAGTATGTGTTTTTTACACCTTTTTCAATAGTTCTGCATTTGTAGTGCTATCATTCAAACTGGTAAAACATCTGAATGCTGATTTTTTTTGCAGTTTGAAGTAAATTGTTTCTGAGGGTATCGAGTCACATGAAATTCAGACCAACCACAGGAGAACAGAGCAGTAACAGCCAGGCAGTTCCACCCAGAAGTACTAGCTGCACCACAGATTTCAAGGGGTGTACGATGTTCATTTCAAGCTGCTGGCAAATGCCATGTTGTAGCTGCCTGGTTCCAAGCAAGTGAGAATAAGCAGGCACAAGCATTCAGCAATGGCGCAAAACCAACAAGGAGCAGCCCGCTTGTCAGCAGCTGTGTGAAATCAGCAAAAGTCAAATCAATCTGCGGTGACACAGTTTTCCCTGGACTCCTGACTTAAATCTTATTTTTATGTATGGCCTTTTCCAAAATTGTAGAATTAATGAAGTCAGAGATTTCTAAAATAATTAGAAGATCTGCAGTCTCTCTCTTGCCCTAACTATATGAGCTAGCACCGCATTTTAAGATACTCAGAAGTTCAGTGTGAAACAATTCATGAAATGGACGCCATTCATGCACATATATTACAAGATTACAGACTGAAATCTTGACAATATCACATTTTACTGATGAATCTGTATTCTGCCTGTGGTAGGAAGAGGGATGCCTGTTATTTTTGGAAGCAAGAAGTGAATGCTTTCCCTTCCCTTCTCTATGCTGATAATACAGCACTAAAACTGAACATTTTATTTGAATATTGAAGAACTTTCATGTGGTTCAACTTCAAACTGTAAACCAATTAAATAGGCAATTTAATTTCACTACCCTTTTCAGACACCAACTTTTCTTTTTACTGAAAAATACCTTAACTTGAGTTACCGGGCTGGTCCCTCTCTTCTCATTTTTCATCCCAGTGGGTGAGAGTGCTCCTGTTGTATTTGGTGGCTGTGGAGTAGATGGCATTTTGGCTCCAGGAGAAACTTGCATGCTTGCCAGCTGAGCTGCATACAGTTGCTGGAAGACAAGAAAATATATAATGTATTCCTGCAAAATTCCTAAAAAAAGAGGCTGTAAATGTACATAATTTTTGTTGCCCTACTGTGGCTTCTCTTAAAGGAATTATAGATAATTTTCAGCACTTTCTTTTTTTGTGGCTTTTCCCTTCTTGTTATTAAAAAAAAAAAAAAGGCAGGGAAAAAAAAAAATTCCCAAGAAAAAACCTACCGAACACCAATATCTTTTCAGTTTGACTTTCAGCTGATGTTTGTTTGGTTGTTTTTCTTCCCCCTTCTTGCCATGGTCATAACAATGAGGAAAAGGTTATACTGTGACTGAATATTAAAAACCAAATTGGCAAAATTATAAGGCTATCTATGAAAAGGAGGTATAAACCCCTGTCAGAAATAACAATGCTTAAGGTTTTTCTGTTCTTAGCCAGAAAATACACACCAATTCCAGAATCTCTACAATGACCTGACACGGGAATCATTTGCTACTAAAAGTAAGTGGTGCATCTTCTCTAGATAGTAATAAAAATTAAAATAGGCAACAAGGTATGTCTCCGTCTCAGTGTACACTGATTGTTATAACTTCTATAAGTGTTAATAAGGAATGTAGGGCATTAAAATTTCCTGCAAATTCTGATGGAAATACGAAAAAAAACCCTCCTGAAACTTTTCAAAAGTTGAAACATAATAGGAGACTTGTATATTAAAATAAAGTTTTCCTACCAATCTAAAGTGTTTACTGAACAAAACCAAACAGGTTTTATTCCCTTACAGTGACCAAATTTAAACTTTCACCTTGAATTAGCATCATCAATAATTCTTCTACCATAAACAGAGAATATCCTAATCCCTCTTCTACACATAGATCTGTATAAACTTTGCCTTATTAGTGAGAAAAAAAGCCAGGTGGGTTGTATGCAATTTCCAACATCACTATCATTCAGATGGACAATAAAAGAAAATACAGTAATCAAAAGCAGACCTTTCAGCACATGTAATTAAATGAAAGCTTAATAAAGAATAATTTGCAAGAACCAGATGTGCTTATGTCATAATTGTTGCTTTTTTTGGAACAACTTCTCTAATATAACAAGCCTCCACAGAAATGAAAGTTACACAGTTCTGTAAGCTCAGTGACTCAGTGGCTAGACAAATGTGAGCAGGAGAGGGAGTCAGAACTCAGGGTGACAAATTAAAACTCTTGTTTGTTTGTTTGTTTCCTGCCACCCCTTTTCAATACCACACAGAGGCTACAAAAGGATCACAGACTACTATTTTGAAATCAATGGTGTTTAAATATTTTGGCTAAAGTACTATATTTTCCTGTGCTAGAAAATTACAAAAAATTAAAAATACAAAAAATTCATTTCAAGTGATGTCCTGGAGAATGAAAATGAAGCAATAGTAAGTACACAATAATAAGTGTTTGGTTTGGGCTTTTTTCCCCTCCTACTGGGTTCTTAACCCGTTTAGCATATTCTTCATGTAAATCTATGCTTGCTTAATAGGATGCCCTGCTTATATGAGAGCAAGAAGCGCATTTCACAAACTTCCGAAAGCCTGCACATTCTCAGCTCAGAAATAATCAGGCAGTGTACTACAAAAAAGAAGATAAAATAAACTTGAATACAATTTAAAGGCAAAACCCCCAAATTTTAATGGCTTTCTCACTGTTCTGTACTTTGTCTATTAAAAACACTTATTCTTGGTTTTTATAACTTTTTTTAATTATTATTTTTATTTAGTACCTGTTTTGCATCTACTTGAACTATCTGGGGAAGATTACTTAGATTTTACTAAAAGTAGACTAAAACTTTAGCACTCAATATAGCGTGCACTGCGTTTTCAAGAGCAGAAAAGGAATTCCGTGTGAAAACAAACACAGGTTTATCAACTAAAGTTCAAAAGGATTTCCTTCTCTGGTAAGCCATCAGGGCAAAAAAAAAAAGTGGGGTATGAAATATTCTGTCAAAATATTCAATCCTTCTTAGAGAAAAGTAAATCATAGAATCATAGAATGTTTAGGGTTTGAAAGGACCTTAAGACCATCTAGTTCTAAGCCCCCTACCATAGTCAATGAAGCACAGTGTGGTGGGCTGACCCAGGCTGGGTGCCAGCTACCCAGCAAGCTGCCTCAACGGGATGGGGAACAAAATCAGATGGAAAAGCTCACGGGTTGAGGTAAAGACAGGGAGATCGCTTACCAGTTACCATCACAGGCAAAACAGACCTGGCTTGGGGAAAATTAGTTTAATTTATTGCCAATTACAGTGGAGCTGGATGGCAAAAACTAAAACTCCCCATGCCCACCATTTCGCCAGGCTCAACTTCACTCCTTCATTGCTGACTCCGCCACCTCCTCCTGCTCTGCCTGGCTGCCTGCCAGCAGGGCTGTTCCTCCCACTCTTCCCTTGCTCCTCACGAGGTGCCTGTCGTGGGGCTGCTGAGGAACCAGCTAGAACTGGATGGGTCTGGCACGGGGCAACCCTCGGCTGCCTCTCCTCACAGTGGCTGCCCCTCAACTCCTTGGCTGCCAGCACTGACACTCAGCATGTGCATACAAGGTGTGTTTATCATCTCTAAAAGCTGCGGTCCACTGTGCAGCTGTATCTTGGCCAGGCATCTCAAGATCAACAAAAAGAGAGTCACAGATGCTGGCCAGAGCAGGGCTCACAAGTGAACTGATACCTGAGTCCCAGCAGGACTGGCAACTGAAATGCCCACAGCACTTTAAGGGTCACAGGGACAGCAACAAGAAAAGCAGGCTGTTATGGGGACTACCTAGGAAACCGTTTGATTCTTGAAATGCAAACATTAAAAGCAGAATAAAATTAGAATTATAAACCACTCCCTCCCCAGTATGTTTAATTTCTGTTATAAACAACTCCTTCCTCAGGCTGTACTGCAAGTAGTGTGAGGAAGAAATAGTTCTAAAGGGAGACAGAAAATAAAAGAAATTTTTGTCATTTCTGTGTGTGTGTGTGTGTGTGTGTGTGTGCGTGTATAATTCATCACTGAGTTACTTCAAAGTCATAGTACTGGCTTTAGCCTGGCATTTCTATAAATTTGTTTTACAGCATTAAAGCAAATGTAACAATAATTAACTTTCTTGTTTGCTTAAAACAAAGCCGCTTCAGAAACAGGTGCAAGTCTTGCAAGAATTTGCACCAGCACTAGAAACACTGCAATGTGGACTGTGAAGCTGTGTAACTTCTTTTAAATACCAGTTTGCATGGGGAGTTAGCCAGTCTGAGAAAATATGTACATGCCAACTTTGCAGAGGTAAACTTGCTATTTTTGAAAATACCACTGCTGTGGCTCAAAATGACAATTTAGGAGCTCACATTTTTAGATGGTCAGGTTGCAAAGGTTTTATTTGTAAGGTTAAGAAAGGGAAAAAGCCCAAACACTGAATGAATGTTGATTGCTAATACTCAAAAGCAAAAGTTTCAATGAAAATTGTTTCAACTGAAATTCTAACCTACTCACTATTGAGTAGGGACTAAAAAAATTAACCTACCTCAAACACTGAAACATACCTTCTTTTCAATGTATGTCTAGTGCATAAATAGAAGAGCATTTTATAATGTTTATGCCAGCCACTGAATCAGAAAGCTCTTGATTACAAATTAGATATTCAAAACTATCAAGTATCCATGATTGTTTTAAGAAGCCTTAAAAAATGTATAGCCTGGTTTTCATTTTTTTAAAAGGCCACTAAGCAAGATTCTTACAATCCAACTCCCAGCATCTAAATATAAGTAGTCCTGATTCTGAACTGCTGAGTGCTCCTGAACAGTTAAGAATTTTGGAAACCAGCTCACTTAAGGTATGTGATCAAGGATATAGTTTTACAGTTTTCAGAGCCAGGTTTCTTCTAGTGTCATGATCTGACACTGAAAAGTGGGATTTTGAAATGCCGCAAGTCTCACTTATGGCAATGGCAACTGAAGTCTCACATTTAGGCAACTATGAACTTACAGGCTTATGGCCTAAGCACTTGTTACTGCAACTCTATTCCAGCTGTAATCAACTAAAAATCTGAGGGGAATTTCTGAAGGTTGGAGGTCACTATGAGTCAGCATGATGTTCATCTCCCTAAAAAAAATTAGAGAAGAGTGGGAAAGTGCTGTACTCACCATGTGTACAGCACAGCACAAGTACAAACTGATTTGTTACCTGGAAACAGCAGAATTCATACTGACCACTTGCTATAGCTTAGAGCTAACATCTGAGAAGAACTGAATAACTAAAAAAAATAAATAATCGGGGTGGTGGTGATTTTATTTTCTGCTTCAGAAATTACCTATGGCATTTAATGAATTATTTTCACTTCACTCTTTTTATAAAAAGTATTATCCATAATACAAAATTTCCCCCAAAACCTGTGAACTAATAATAGAGCATCTTGACTAACCCAAATGTTAAAACCTTTCTTAATGCAATCTAAGTTTCACAATGTCTTTGTTAGGCATTTCACGATACAGCAGGATAACTGCCACCACTGTCAGCGTTCATTCATGCCTTGCCAGAAGACAAAGGCCCTAAGCTCATACAATTCTCTCAGGTTTCACCATTTGCTTTCCAACTAATTTTTTCAACTAGCTTTCAATAACCAAAACTCTTACATTAGCTCAGGTCCCTTCCCCTTATGACTTTTCACTTGCACACAGGCCTGGAACATTCTCATACACGTGCGCTGCTGAATCAGATTGAGCACAGTAAATGAGCACAGAGCAAAGCTTTCTGTGCACCAGGTGTTTCATTTTTTTTTTTCCCCAAAAGGAATACTGATGCTTAGCTCTTAGGCTGCAGCATCTGTGTCTAAATGAATGAATAAAGGTGAAGAATTTGAAGAACTGAATGTTAAAGAAGTAACACATGGTGAGGAAAATAAAATGGGCCTTAACACAGTTAAGGGATGTTTGGACTGACAACAGCTTGTTAACTTTGTGACAGGCTGTTTCATCACCTAACGCAGAATTATGATAATCATAACCTTCTTGC